GAAGAGACCGCGATGGCGAACGACCGCCTTTCGCGGCTCAGCGGGGGTCGGTGCCCCCCGCTGGACTCATTGCGGTATACGTCAGTGGGCGGCTCCCACACGAACGTCTTCCTCCGCTGCGTGCTGGCCAAGGCGCCGACCACAGTGAAGGCGCTGGCAGACTCTCGGGACAACATCGACTCCGAAAAGCTGTGCGCGTTGCATCCGCAACTTGCGACGGCAGTCAAAAAGGGCCTGCGTGGTTGATCATCAAGCACGCGGTGGCCAAAGTGAAGGGCCTCAAGAACTTCGTGCAGAGGGCTTTGAACGCCGACGTCAGGGAGGCGGTTCACGAGACCGAGATCATTCGGTCAGGCTGCAGCCTATCCCCACTATAGTATATAGCGGTATGTAGTATGGACCAGGATGATGCACGAGGAGGGCGATGAGTGGGAACGCGTTGGGGAGGAGGTGAGAACGAGGAGCAGGAGCATTATATCTTACAGTGCTGCAGCACTTGGTCGGCTCGGCGCTTGCTGCAGGCAGGTGGGCGGATGCTCTTGGCACACGGCCTCGCTGAGGGTTCCAGCAAGCCCGATTGGCGCGACATCGCCGAGCAAGCGGGCCACGCGAACCCACCTTGCAAGGCGTGGGTCGCTGACTTGTGCAAGTTTGTTGAGCTCGGGTCACAAAACGGAGAGCTTCTCCGTGAAATAGATGAAGCCCTCAAGACCTTCGCGAATGTGGACGTCTCGGGGCAAACTTTGATGTGCGGCTCTGAATTGTGGCGCAAGTTGAATTCGATTAAATGGGGGAAGCACCAGGAGTCGTACCCGCATGTCGTAGCGGCGCTCGTGAAGGCCAACTATTCAGGCGAGCACGTGGTGGATAGCATGTGCAGGACCATCCATAAGCTTGTCGGCGCCCCCTTGTAGTGACATGCGCTGCAGCGCATCTATGCATTGCGCTGCGTTGTTAGAACTGCGTACCCACCCCTCCCCCCTCCCCCCACACACACACGCACCGTTGCATTGCTTTATTCCCAAACGCAATCGCTGAAGCGATGGGCGGATCAAGGCAAACGAGATCGCCCACGTCGCGTCCCGCAAGGCGGACGCGGCTGCGGCCGACAACCTCATGGCCGACGCAAGGTCGCTCGTGAAGAGGTTGGATATCGGAGCGGGGCAGGGCTTCTTGCACATCACAAAGTTGGATGTCCGCTGTGCCATGTACCTGGTGAAGAAGCGAGCGCCAGGAGACCGCACTTTCGGATGCGTAGCAGATATAGCACAGGTATCTTCTCACGCCACCTTTCGTGTGCTCCTTGTTTCCCTCCCTCCCTGCTTTTCGCCATTCAATGTCGCTGCAGCGACCCTCCAGAGAGGTCTTCCTCCATGGGCTCGGGGAGCCAGCCCAGCTGCAGATGAAGAGCTTGGGGATCGAGTTCGGCAAGGCGGTGCAGACCGACAAGCAAGGCGGTGGCGCACCCGAGTTCCCAGCGGGCGCCGATGCAGACGCGCCGCGCGCGGCAGCGTCGTCGGCCGCTGAGTTGAAGAGCAACGTCTTCCGCATGCGGCGTGCAGGGTTCGACGTGGGGAAGCACATCGTCCAGAAGAAGGAGGTGGATGACGTCTTCGAGGTGCTCTCCATCTCGGAGAATGGGATCACCGCTCAGAAGAAGTTGCACGGCGACCTGGTGGGCGAAGAGATCTCCATTGCGCGGCCGCAGCCGCCCCGCCGCCCGTGCAGGGAGCAGGGAGGGGGGGGGAGGAGGTAGTAACTGCGATATTGTATTTCCTGTACTTAAGTTGCAATGGGTTGGTCGATGCGCTGCAGCGCACGGAGCAGTTAGCCGAGCGGGCGGATTGAAGTAAACATATTGCTCGAGAATTACAAGTTGACGTCCGCCGCCCGTGCAGGGAGCAGGGAGGGGGGGGGAGGAGGTAGTAACTGCGATATTGTATTTCCTGTACTTAAGTTGCAATGGGTTGGTCGATGCGCTGCAGCGCACGGAGCAGTTAGCCGAGCGGGCGGATTGAAGTAAACATATTGCTCGAGAATTACAAGTTGGCGTCCAGGGTGCAGGAGCAGTTGCCGTTCACGAAGGAGCACTTGCCGCCAGCCCACGAGGGTTGGGCGATGGACGCGTTCAAGGGGGCATGCAACATGGCGCTGCGGCTCCAAGCGCTGAAGTACCAGGCGAACATTTTGCACTTGGAGATCCTGCAGGACCCACCTGCCGCGCGCTGCAGGCGAGCGTTCAAAGTGGGTGAGCTCGTCAGACTTGCGCTTCCGCAATCGTCCGCGCCCCCCTCCGACGACGCCGCGCTGCAGCGCTGCGCTGAGCACGAGGTAGCGAGGATTTCGGGGCACGTCAGGCCGTAGCGACGAGGTCAGTGATGTTACCGACTGCGCGCCATGCAGCTCCACGCGGTGGGAGTGGTCGCATTTCAGCCTCGTCCACGCGGGCCAGCACGGGCTGCGTTGCGGAGAGCATCTCGTTGGGGAAGGTTGGCCTCTACGAGTTCTTCGTGGGCCCGCAGTTTGCAGGGCCCCCCGCTGAGGGGTCGCGGGGCCCCGACGCCTTTGTCGGCCCCTTCTGGGTGGTGGCAAAGTCCGACTCAGAGCCCAGAATGGAGCTCCGAAAGGAGACCGTGACGTTCGGGGCAGGCGTCAACAAGGTGCAGGTGGGGGTGCCCCAGATGCATAACACTTGCGCCCTGTCCGCGGGCGACTTCCTGGTGGTGAAGCCGTGGCCGCGGCTGCGGCCGCGGCCAGCCAAGAAGCTCAGGACGGCCTGAGCTGGCGATATAGAGGGACCACGCGGGAGGACGAGGCAGGAGGGAGGGGTGATGCGGAGGAGGAGGAGGAGG